CTCATTCCAGAAGAGGAAACTGAAGCTCAGGGATGTCAAATAGCTGACCCAAAATTATGCAAGCAGTCAGTGACATAGTTGGTACATGAACCTAAATTTGTCTGATGCTCTAAACCTGGTTTTCCTATCTAAATAAACTTCACAGTAGAAATGATGGTCACCCTTAAGTTTCCTCCCTGGTTTCTTCCTTTGGTCTATCCATCTGAAGAATTATAGCCATATAGCCACCCTTCTCAGCAGGCGAGACTTTACCAGAAGCTCCTGCTAGAATGTTGTTTTCTCTCTTCTTTGTATTTTTCAACTACTTCTACTGTGGTATAATCAACACAAAATTAATTTCAGCAAAAGAAGTCAAGATACAATTTGATGAGTTTATGAAATGTCTACAGGTGATTAACACAATTAAAATAATGGTATAAAATATCTGTCACTCCTGGACTCTCCCTGGTGGCGCAGTGGGTTAAAGCACAGCACTAAGAAGCTAAAGCCACTTCAGCATGAGTTCAAATCCCTGCCCTGTAGGTGACCCACATGGCATGGCAGACCTCTCCTGACCTGCCCACTGCTCCCTGCAGGAGTGTGTCAGTCAGCCTGTTCTGTTCCCTACTCTCTCTGGTGACTCCTCTCACCGCCCCTGTACCTCCAGCCTGTACCCCAGTTCTGTATGCATAAATAAATAAATCTTAAAAAATATATATCTGTCACACCTTGTGGCTATCTGCAATCACTCACCCTCCCTTATTCTTCTCCTTGGCTCTTGTCAATCACTGATTTAGTTATTATGGTAACAGTTTGCCTTTCTAAAATTTGACACATATTATACCGTTATTTCCTTTGTTTTTTTCATCTAGTTTTTGAGATTCAGGCAAGTTATTATTTATTTTTAAATAGCATTTGTATGCATGTTTATACCAAAGTTTGTCATCCATATACTAGATGATAGCTGCATAGGCTTTTTTGTGTTTGGGATGTTAAGAATAAACTCTGTCCATTTAAGTACAAGTCTTTGTGCAGACGTTTGTTTTCATTTCTCTTGTACAAAGTAAGAGTGGCCTTATGGAAACATGAAAAACTGCCACATGCTTCCGAAGTAGCTGTGCTGGCTTGGATACCCTTTACAATGTATTATAGTTCTAGTTGCTCCACATCCTTATAACATTTGGTATTTTACCCTTTTTTAAAAGAGATCTGGTGGGTGTCTTTGTATCTTTTCAGTTTTTAATTTATATTTCCTGATGAGTAATAAAGCGGAATATCTTTTCATGTGCTACTTGGTTGTTCACATATTTTCCTTTTTCTGAAGCTTGTTAAATCTTTACATTTTTTAAAACGAGGGTTCTTTTGAGCTGAGATGTATATAATCTCAGGTTATATGAGATACTTTGTGGTTTTCTGCCCATGTTAGCTTGCTCTTATTTCTTAACAGTGCCTGAAAAGAAGTTTTTTTTTTTTAATAAATCATTGATTTCTCTTTTATATTTCATGATTTCTATTTTTGGTAAAAATTTTGTAAACTTTTTGCTACATTTCTAAAGGTGACTAAAATTTCCTATGTTTTTTGAAAAACAACTGTGATTCATTTTTTGCACATCTATATCTAGTTATATCCAAGCCATTTGCTTTACTGTAACGATTATTATTTGACTGCATTTGCACCTTTGTCAAAAGCAAAGTGACCGTATATGTACAGTTTTATATGTGGGCTCTCTTCTGTTTAATGAGTCTGTATGTCTACAACATACTTTCTGGATATATAGCTTTGAGGATTGTAAGGATAGTCTTCCAAATAGATTTTTAATTTCAAAATTATTTTGATTATTATACATTCTTTTAAAAAGATTTTGGCTGTGATAACCTTGGCTTACATTGCCGTTGGTATTTTGGGAATATAGGCTCTCCGTCCCACCTTCTTCAGGGTATAGTTACAATTTGCAATGCTCTGTAGCTTAAAATGTTTTACACATATGTGGTTAGACATATTTCACAACTGTGACAATGCTATAAACGGTATGTGAATTGCACTTTCAATTCCTGAGTGTTCACTGGAAGTATAACTGTGTTTTGTAATTTTTGCAAGTTTTACTAGTTCTAGTGGATACTTTGAAGATTCCTAAGGATGTTTGAAATAGTTATATTATCTGCGAATACAGATTTAAAAAAAATCAAAACCACTTCATGCAAACTGCTGTAAGTATTGAAGTTCCAAGTGCCAATGAAAATATTTGTTCTATTAGGAAAAATAGTAACTAAAAATTAAACAAAATCCCTTCAGTTTGTGGAACACATAAAGTCAATCCTATTTATTACTTAATTCTTATCTTACACTATTACTCAATTCTTAATTTTATATTTTACTTATTTTTATTTCATTGTATTTACATTTTTTTAATATTTACATTTTATGCCCCCCTATGTTACTTGTTATTTTACTTACACAGGAAAACCTTTCCCCACACAGTCAAGTAAAATCATTTACAGAAAACTAAGAAGCATTTTATGTGAATCACATTCTTTTGAAAGTAAAGTTAGAAATAAAGCTATCTTTCTGCTGAGGTTTTTCTAACCTAGCATTTCTATGCTTGAAGTAATCATAATATTAAAAAAATCTTAAATTTTGTGTTTCAGAGTATATAATTAAAAAAAAACAAACAGGGAGATCCTTTATCCTTCAGCACCGTACAATTATTATATTAAGACCACTGGGTTTCTACCTTTTTTCAGTTCTTATTGGCTTTGTGACCCTGAGTAAAGTTCACTGTCTTGAATTTCTTTATCTGAAATATGGATAATCCAGATTACATCTTCTAAAGTGGTTGTGAGGATTTAATGGGTTTACAAAAGTAAAGCATTAAGACTATTCATGGAAGTAGTGCTCTATTTTTTCTAATAATCTATGTACTGAGAAGATAACAATATAAAGCAATTAAGTTAGATGTTCGCTAACTGATATTTTTAAAGAAGATATGCCATAAGATACCATAAAGTTAGTAAAAACTAGTAAATATACTATCAAGGACATTGTGAAAGAAATTGGTACAATAAGAATATCTGAAATAAAATTCCTGGTCTGTTACTTGTAGTAAGTAAACAATACATTTTTCTTCTTATAATATGCCTCAAAGTATAAAAGATTAACAAAGCTCAATAAGCTGCTTGATGACAAAAAAAAAAAAAACCTATTCCAAATGGTAGTCAAATTGCTTGGGTAAAATGCAGTATGTTCTCCTGCACCCATTAAGTCATAAAAGGCTTCTAGAACTTAGAATGGAACTTTTCTTTCTAAAATATATTTTAATTTAAAATGTATTTTAATTGCTTATGGGTTCTTATGATTGAGTTTCCCAAAAGGACCTAACAGAGCTATCTCTTTATGTTTCCTCAACCTTAACAGTTGTCTTTTAAGCCCTTTTTTTCCTTTTAAAAAGATTTATTTACTTATGCTTATAGAACTGGGGTACAGGCCAGCGGTGTGGTGGGTGAGAGGATTCACCAGAGACAGAGTAGGGAGTAAAACAGGCAGATTGACAAAGCAAACTGCTGGTTAGAAGAGGGCTGCCACAGCATATGGGTCAGCTCCCTGGGCAGGGATCGAACTCATGCTCCAGTGGCTTTGGAGAACTTCATAATGCAGTGCTTTAACCAGTTGCGCCACCAGGGAGAGCTCGTTAAGCCCATTTTTAAAGGATTTTTATTTCAAAGTATACTAGCTGATCTTAGGATGATATTATTCCTTGATGACTTGATGGTGAAAAAGACAGAAGAAAGAAGATGAGAAATTAGGTAGAAGAATGTCTTGATATTATATATCACTGATTTCCAAGCAGGTGTAAGAGTTGGTCAATGGCTATTAAAAGTCTTGCTAGAGATCTGCATGGGGTAGTCTAGTCCATGCCATTTCATTTCTTTCCTGACTTCATGGGGAAGTCAGAGAAATTCTTATCCAGTCCCAGGCTTTGTGTATCAGAGGAAGGGAAACTGTGTGACACTAAAGGAGAGAGAGACAGATGAGAAGTCACAGGGCACTAAAGAAAAAAGCATAAAAATGATTAGAAAATTGAGAAAACTATGAAGGTTCCTTAGGGGCAATTTAGCTTAACCCTCTCCATGGTTCAGGATACTCCTCCAAATCTCTGATAGTCCTGTGGCCTCTGCCTCAACACCCCCAACTTCTGGGGTCTGACTTCCTTGAGACCCTTTGCTCTAAGTTGGAAATCTGGGATATACAGTAAGTTCTTTACATTGTTAAAAGCTAATTAATCATTGTCTTAGGTATTTTACCACCAAAATCCCTCTCAAATATGTACTGTTTCCCCTTCCACTATCTTAGCTGAGGCCTCTCTCATCCACTTACATGGTCCTGCAACCAAATTTCTTGATACCAAATACTTCATCTCTAACCCATCCTCATGCAGAAGACTGCAGATTGCATGTTCTAAAACAAAAGGAATCACATTATTCCTCTGCTTGAAACCCTTTGATGTTTCACTATCAAAGGGCAGCAAAAAGTCTAAAGATTTAGCCTGAAGAGCATCCTCTTATCTAACCAACTTACATTTGAGTAGCATGAAATAACTGAGGTGTCCACATTCACTAAGTTGTGCTATTGTTCAGGAATTATCTCTAGGAAGGCATTCTTTCTCCCATTTATTTTATTCTCCAATTATTTTATATATAATTTACATTATATATATTGTATATATAATTATATACAAAATAACTACTTTATATATAATTCTGTGTGTATCTCTGTTATTGAATTAGTCATATCACACTGAAATCATTAACAAGTTCATCTCCTTCCTCTAGGTGAGTTCCTCAAAGCAAGAACCAATGTCGGACCTTTAGCATATGGCAGAAGATTAATGTACTTTTTCTGAAAGCTAAAAATTTTAACTTTGGTTGTCTAACTTTTGCTCCATGAAGCAATAAAAACCATCTTACCAGGAAACTACAGTATGTACTTGTGTGTAAAAAGGCCAAGTTAATGACATTGCACTTACCTAAATTGCTATATGTTGCACTACAGGAATTTAGGTCTGTGGCATCTGAAATGTCTTCTTTTTCCTCTTCCCTTTCCAGTTCAGGTAGGGACACTGGTGATGTGACTGAAGTGCAGCCCCCAGCATCTTGTTTCATGACAACAGTTCTTGGATCACGAGGAGAAAAATCCTCTGTCGATTCATTGGTCACATGACTGAAACAAATCAGACCACTGTCATACTGGCATTCAAAGATTTTATTAAATTTAGATTTATGGAAGATATGTAACTTGCCATTAATGTAAATAAGCTGCCCTCTAGCCACAATAGGGCATGAGTCCCAGAATATTTGTCTGAATCGAGGTGGTCCTTCACGCAGATTAATACTTCTATCTAATTTGATTCAAACATATTGAGAATCTAGTTTGGTACGGGAGGTGTGATAAGGCTCAAAAGAAAAGCTGTAAGGTAAGGAATGGGACTTTTTTCAGGTGGGCATGGCAATGTGGTGCTAGAAGGAGCTAAATGTTAAACTGGTTAAAGACAAACATACTCAAGTATTTAATGAAGTATTTGGCATATTTACTAAACTATGGTACTATATTACTACAGTAAATGCCAAATACTCTATAGTATTTTCTTTAAAAGACACACGGGGTTAACTACATAGTGAAGTATTTCTTTTTTTTCTTTTTTTTTCATAGTGAAGTATTTCTAAAGGATCAGGAATAAAGTTGAGATTAGAGTATCTAAATAAGGAAATTAAGCAATTGTTTTAGTAGGTAACTGAGATAGGAAGGAGTTGTTTCTGGGAGAAGGGAAGCATCAACCTTTGCTGTATGCACAAAGCAGGCAAAGCAAATGGAAGAGAAGGTTCTGCATTCTAGTTAATCTTACCAAAGTGAATAGAAGCATCCTGTGGGCCACATTCTAGACTATGACCATCCACAATGCTTTGTGCTTTGTTTCACTGTGCTATTTCCTCCATTCTTCCCCACACCCTACTTCTCCTGAACTGTCAATTCTGTTGGTATAAAGTGCAGACAGACAGGATGGTCATTAAATGCTGGTGGAGAAAACTGGCCTATCAGAAAACCTTACTGGGCTGGTCAATGAAATAAACTGAAAATCAGTTATCTTCAATAGTTTTCTGGATCTGCTGGGATGTCATACGTCCACTAGCTCTTCTCTCACCCACCCCACCTCACCCCCTTTTTTTATGGGCAAAGAGGCAGGAGGAAAGCAAGTATCTTAGCTGCTATTACTGTTATTTCTAAATATTCAATAGGCAGTGAGTCATGGTGACATTTACTAGTTCCTTTAAGTGAGGCACTTTGATCATGTGTCATGAGACATGTATCACCTGTGGATTTGAGGGAGAGGATCTGAAGGAGTGTCTTCTTATTAATCTTTCATTATGGAAATTATGTATGTGCCTTAACAAAAAAAATCAGCCTTGAAGTCGGCTGGATATACAGCTTCAAAAATAATCTTTCAAAGCTGGCAGAACCAGGGTTCTCTCTATACTTAGGAATGAGCAAGGAACTGGAGGTTCTGTACGGGACCCAGCTCTTGGGGATAGTGGCAAGAGGAGTTTATAGAAATGCAGCCTAACATAGTAAAGCATGCTGCCCCTTCTTAACTGGAGGCATTAGGTCATCCACCCAAAAGAGGAACACCAAACAAAGCTGGTTTCTCATCACAAGGAGTCTTATAAAATCAAGGTAGTAAAGGACTCCATACATACACAAAGGCTAAGTCAAATGATGCCTTAGCAATTAATGGAAAGTTTGTAGATCACTGAGTAGTTATCAACATACTCAAGCAAGGGAAAATGATCTTTGCTAGGCAAATGTTATATAATCCATTTCTAATTTTAAAGCAATAAGTGTAAAGTGATTTAAAATAGCAGTCTCCCTCAAGAAGAAAAAAGTTAAACCTCTTTTTAGTCTAGAGTCAACTTGAGTGGTTTCCTAAATAGCTGTTTTTAGGCTCTTAATCTGTACATTCTAATTTCTTTTTCTTCCTTCCTTCCTTCCTTCCTTTTTTTTTTTTGCACAGAAGAACTGGGGTGTAGGCCAGAGGCTTGGGGTATGACAGTATTCACCAGAGACAGAATAGGAAGCAGAACAGGCAAATCTATGAAATACAATGCTGAGGGGAGCAGTGGGCAAGACAAGAGAGGTCTGCTGCTGGGATCAAACTCAGGCTGCTGCAGTGATAGCCAGGTCACTAAGGAGGCCCCTCCAATTCCTGGTTATTACTAAAAGAAAACTCTTACAGCTTCGCTAAAAGGAGTGAGAAGGTTGGTTCAGAGGCCATGACTACCCTCACTTGTCTGTTTTCCTCCCAGAGAACAGGTTATTATAATGAGTCTCAGTTATGAAGAACACAGAAAGAGTTGCTGCTATTAATCTGTAGGTTCACACACAGCTCTTTGCTCTTTAAGGGCTTCTCAAAACAAATTACGGAATCTAAAAATATAAGAATTATTATAGACTCACCCACTGTAATCAGTCATACAAGTCCCTATTAAAGGAAATCCTATAGGGTCTTGGTCAATCTGTTAATCACATTCTGAAAGCTCTGATGAGTCCTAGATCCCATTGAGCTTTGGAGGATTACAAGTTAGGCAAGATAGACGAGGCTTCAATTCTGCACCTTAATATCAGCCACTGTACCTTGACCTTTACCTTCAGGAGCTAGGGCTGGGAAATATGCCAAGTGACCTTTGGGGAGCTAAGCAAAGCGAAAACTAGTTTTATTACTTCTTGAAGGACCAAGCAATGCAACCCATATTACACAAAAAGATTGGTTTTTGTGATCACATTTAAAATTTTAATCATCAATTAAAGTAATTATCATTTATGAAGTACTATGCAAAGAGATTTGATAAAAGCTCAAGGGTTTGCAGATGGTTGCTAAGATGTTTAAACTACATTTACCATGACAGTACTGTCTACAAAAAAGAATTTTAAAAAGATGATATGTCACATCTTGATCCTTGAGTGAAGAACAGCTCTCTGTATCACTAAAATAGTAAGGGGAAGGGTGGGGAAGAGGTTTTAAGAGTTCAAGTTTAGATGTGATAACATGGTGTGACTAAAAATTGAGAATAGTAACAGAAGGTTGACTTACTCACTGGACATAAACCACACAAACAAGCTGTCTAGGAAGGAAATGAATTGTATGAGGGAATATAGTCTTTTTCATTTTCAAATTATTTATTGAAATAACATTGTGTTATAACATTATATATCGCAGGTGTCAGTGCCTATATACATTACAATAAGTTCACCACTAAAATCTCATCAGTTCCATTCTAAGGAGGAGGAAATTGGGACTTAAACTCAGCAATGGACCCAAGGCCACTAGGCCAGGCAGGTTCAGAGGGAATATAATTTTTAATCATTGATATTTTTTATATTTCATACTTAGATATAAATTCAGAAAACCCTCCCAAACCGTAAAGTGACACTTAGGAGATCAATGCCTTATCTCCTAACAAAGTGGTTCACCACCAACATTTATTTTACTGGGAAATATTGAATGCAATGGAGAAAATATCAAAACAGAGATCAAAGAATCCAAGCTCTATTACCCTAGTGCCTCAATCTTTTATACAAACTAGACAACAACATCAGGAAGGTAATGGAGAAAATGAAATTTTCCTTGTTTCATCCATGTGACAAAGGTAAAAATGCTTTAAGTAGAAATGACATTAAATTGTCTAGAATTTTTAAGCAATTTGTACATTTTTGTACAAATGTTGAATTAGGAACTAGATTTTTTTTCAGCAAATATTTGAAATTCACTACTGTAAAACAAAACCATTAACTGATAAATAAGAGAAACTGATAACTAAGAGAAAAAGTTAGTGTTTTATTTCTGTTATTTCAATTCACACAGTGTACAATGTCTGCAATAACCAGGGTGTTGGTATTTGGGTCCTTAGAGGTCAGGTTCACACCCTGTCTGAGCCTCATCTTTTTCTGAATTAACACTTGCTGTGCTTTTTTTTTTTTTTTAAAAGATTTATTTATTTATTCATACAGAGCTGGGGTACAGGCCAGAGATGCTGGAGGGTGAGAGGATTCACCAGGGACGGAGTGGGGAGCAGAACAGGCAGATCGAGGAAGTACACTGCTGAGGGGAGCAGTGGGTGGGTCAGGAGAGATCTGCCTGGCCATGTGGTCTCCTCTGGGGCAGGCGGGGATGGAACTCATGTGGAAGTGGCTTAAGCTTCTTAGTGCAGTGCTTTAACCCGCTGAGCCACAGGGAGGGCCCATTGCTGTGCTTTTTTAATGGAAAGACACACTAGACTGTACCTCAAAATTTTAACCAACTTTTCATTAATGGCTAGTTTCTAATTCGGATTTGGTAAACCTGATTTGACACTTAAAAAAAATTCTGTCACTAAGAAAGCTGGTTTTCTGAATATGGAGAATGTTTAAGTGTTCAAAGAAAACAAACATTGTTACAGACTTATTTATACTACAAAGGGACCCCTTAATAAGGTTTTATCTCATTATCTGCACCTTTCCTACATAATTCAAAGTCGCAGAAAACTTTTCTATGGAATGATCACTTGGCTTACCCAAGTACTCAAGTGTTAGGATTAATCACTGCACCAGCAAATGAAATGACTCTTTTTCTTCCTGGAAGAAAATCCAGGACAGATTTTTGTAAAAATTTTGTTAAATGTCTGAAAGTACTTTTTAAAAAGTTCCCCATTAGAATAAAAACCTTTATGTATCCAAGTATTTCCACAATTTCAATCCAACAACCTTCTATTTCAACCAACTTCATTTGGCTTCAGAAGGGACAATAAATGAAATCAGGCTTCTATGGAGATCATCTGCCTCTTGGGGCAAACTGTATTCTAAATTTCTATTTGCAAACTTTCTTCAGCAGTCGTATTTGTTTCTAGTTGCCCTAAATATTCAGATTAAAACACATCAGAAGCAGCAAGTCATGGGTCTGTTTCTGGATTCTATAGCTATCTATTTCTGGGGTTGCTGGGGATAATCATGGGGATAATGGACCTTTGCACAGATGAAACAAGTGTTACACATGCTTCTGGGGAAGGAGGAAAACTTCATTTCTTTCTTTCTGTCTCTCTACCTATAGAAACTCCTACCCTTCCCCCACCCCCTCCAAACACACACAATCAACATGACATTTCTTAATCCTGTCTTAGTTTCCAGGTCATCAA